GGCTGGCTCACTGCTGCCAACTAGTGGTCAGAGGCTGAACTACAACATAAAAATGAACGGCTGGCAGGAAAGTTGACATTTTAAACCTTAATAAAAAAATTGATACAGGGCTTTAGAATATCGATACAGTATCGGGAAATGAAATATCTCAATATTTCAGTGTATCGATATTTTCTTACACCCCTAATTGTGACTGATGTGTTTATGAGTTCTGTGGAGTGGGTTTTAGTATAAATAATATACATCAGCTGAAGTTATATTATTATGTTTTGTACGATCAGTTCTCTCCTGGCAGCTGGAAAACAAACACGGCTCTTTATAACCTTTAATAACGGTTTGATCCAAACACTTTTAAGACTCAAACAGAATATTTGGTACAAATTTAAACAGTTTTCCACAAAAATGTAAGTCATACCTTGCACTTCCTCCCGGAGCAGCAGAATGATCAGTTTTAGCCACATTTATCTGAATCTCTTTAGGTGCTGTGGGTTTTGCGTCCCCGGCTTTCGAGCCTTTAGGTTTGTGGTTGGCTAGCAAGAACTTCAGGCTTTTCTTCACAGGATGCTGCTCGGGGAGCGCGGAGCCTCCATCTTTGTTCACCTCTCGGCCTGAATTGGTTTTAGGTTTCAGAACCAGTGAGTTCAACCCGTCGTCCTTCAGCCCTTTAGCGAACGGGTTGAAGTTGACCTTCAGCTGGGCGAACTGAGGGTTCTGGTACGTAGTGACCGTCATGAACTCAGTCTGAGGGAAAGAGAAGGTGAGGACGTTGGGACCGTTCAGTCTTACGTCATTAGCTTTGTCCGTCTCAACCAGGTGCAGTCTGGGTAAGTAGCGGTGTAGTGGATGGAGGATGATGTTCCCCTCTTCGTCTGAGACATTGTTGGTGAGTTTTAGTTTGTAGAAGGACACCGGACTCTGCATCCAGTGCTGACCCGTAGCGGGGGACTCCGGGTGAACGAAAGGATTAGTCCTGATTTGACTCTCGGCCTTCTTGGACACCTGCCAGCTCTCACCGGTCCACCTGTACTGACTGTTGTCCAAAGGCTGGATGTCCATGAGCAGAGCGTACTTCCTGCACGGCTGCAGGCCTGAGATGCGAAAGCGGCAGTAGGGGAACATCCTGCTGCCTTGCTGAGTCAGAATCATCTCCGTCCTGCACCTGAAGCACTCGTTCCACATGCTGCTGTTGTCCAACGTCACTCTGACGCCCCTGCAGATGCTGACGGGCGACGTCGAGTCGCCGTTCGGACCCGCGGGAAGGTTTTTGTCCGTCCTCGCCAAGGCCCCTTTGACCGTGTACGTGTTATGTTTGAAGCCCGCCCCGTCGCCGAACACACGGGTGCTCGGAGCCGTCCCGCTCCTCTTCACCTTCTCGGGCCTCAGAGCGGCGAGGCACACAGGGTCGCCTGCCGCCGCCGCCGGGGCACTGGCCCCGTCCTTCAGGAACACCATGCTGTGCCGGGTCTTTGTAGAGGCCATGAACAGGTCCCTGCAGGATCCCGCTTTGCTGCACAACCGTTCAAGATGGCATCCTGAAAAACAAGACCCAGAATGACTCAGCAACTGATGGACTTTCATGTTTTTACACACGGACGTTCAGTGAAATATATAAAATATATTTAGATATTCATTTACAAGACTGCTTTTGGAACATAGTTTGTTGAAATTTGGCAATCTGTAACAAGCTACTTTGGTTTACAAGCGTCAGTTTGAACGAAGTCATCTTTAAAATGTATCCTTATATAAAATGTATCCCAAAGCTTCACAATAAGCTCTGTGTGACCGGACCAATCCCAGTCTGTCTTTACCCTCCAGACATCCAGATACTTTACCACATGTTGTGGGAGGCTGATATATTGGTTTGAGGTAGGGATGCATGGTTTAATATTGCTGTTATGGTCAATAGACAATATTTACTGATATCACAAAAATTATATATATACAGGGGTTAGACAATGAAAGTGAAACACCTGGTTTTAGACCATAACATCCTTTCAGACAGCTTCCTTTTGCGTCCACAGTTAATCCTGTTGGATGTGATTGGTCCTTCTTGGTGGTATGCTGACATTATCCTGGATACTCATTTTTCTTGAGTGTGAGCATCAAGCATGAGACTCCATTAGATTGACCAAATGATTGGCATTTGTAATTCAAGTCAGTGATTTACTGCAGTCTAAAATCCAGCAAGACGTGCACCAACAATTTGTCCTCTTTTGAACTGTGATACGTCACACATAATGTTGTGTGCATTGCAATATTTTGAGCAAAACTGAGCTCTTACTCTGCTAATTGAACCTTCACACTCTGCTCTTACTGGTGCAATGTGAAATTAATGAAGACTGACCACCAGGCTGGTCCAATTTAGCCATGAAACCTCCCACACTAAAATGACAGGTGTTTCAGTTTTAATGTCTAACCCCTGTATACACACTGCCGGCCAAAAACCAATTGTCCATCTGGATCTAACTAAGGTCTATAATGTGGGGCTGCTGCAGGTGATCAGGTCTAGGTTCAGCAACAGTTTGTCCTCAAAGAATGAGGTCAGCTGACCTGATTATACTGAATGACCAGGTTATTCCATCAATGATTGCTTTTTCTCTGATAGCACGGACATATTCCAAGACGACAATGCCAGGATTCATGGGGCTCTTATTGTGAAAGAGTAGTTCAGGGAGCATGAGACATCGTTTTCACACATRGRYTGGCTCCACAGAGTCCATTGTGAAYCTTTGCAGGAGGTCAGACTCTACCATCATCAATGAAAGATGTTGGTGAAACATTAATGCAACACTGGATGAAATAAATCTGGTGACACTGAAKTTTATCCAAACAACACCACAGAGAATGTGGGCCGTAACCAAAGCTAAWGGTTTAACTAAATATTAGAGTGTGACCTTTTTTTGGTGACAAATTTTTTTGGCCAGGCAGTAGGGTTGGGCAATAWTGRCAATAGAAATTAATCACAATTAATTGTGGTATTTAGCCGATAACGATTAATTTGGCGATTAATGCCTTGGAGTCCCTGAATACACTTATGTCCTAGTCACATGACAGATTTAGTGGGAAAGATTTGCTCTTCATACAAATCTGTTCCAAACTGTGTCAAAATTACAGACTTCAGGCTATACATCAAATTTTAAATTGGGTTGATAGATAAATACAGAACTTCTTTTAAAATGTGCATCATATTTGAAGCAGAGAGGAGCAGCGAGTGGACTCTGCCTGGTGGCATTAATCTTATTAATCGTCAATTGCCACAAAGTAATCGATTGTTTTTCTGACGAATAATTGAACACGATATGTTTATGCCCAACCCTACCAGGCAGTGTATATTTAAACACACACACACACACACACACACACACACACACACACACACACACACACACACACACACACACACACAAACATATGTGTCTTTTTTTCGATACCGTAAAAAACGACCAGCTGACACAGCTCTACTTCAGTTATTCCTGGCTGGGCAGCATTAGTATTAGGGTTGGGCAATATTGGCAAAAAAATTAATCACGATTAATTTGACGATTAATCCCCCGGAGTCCCTGGACACCCTTGTATCCTAGTCACATGAACAATTTAAAGGGAGAAAATTGGCTCTTCGTAAAAATCTGTTCCAAATTGTGTCAAAATTACAGACTTCAGGCTAAACATCAAACTTTAAATTGTGTTGATAGATAAATAAATTACACAACTTTTTTAAATGTCGGTCATATTTGAATCAGAGAGGAGCACCGAGTGGTTAGTCTGCTTTGTGGCATTAATCGTATTAATCTTCAAGTACCAAAAATTAATCGATTGTTTTTCTGACGGTTAATTGCACACGATACGATTATGCCCAAAACTAATTAGTATCAAGATCAAACAGAGACCACTCGACCAAACATTTCCCTCCCTAAACACAAACACAAATGGCAAAAAGTGGGAAATCAATATTGGACGTTAATATCAGCCCAGTTCTACTTATCGAACCAATACCGATATTCTAAAAAATGACCAACATCTGATACTGAATATTAATGCTGATATATTGTGCGTCTCTTGTTTGAAGGAAAAAAGGACCAATGGTGAAAAGTTGCAGCACAAAGGACCACATTTCTCACATGCAGAGCTGAGTTCTGCTTTATGTCAAAAATCGTCTCATTGTTTTGATTCTAACWCACTAAAACTGACTAAACACACTAAAACTACACAATAACTACAAAATCCAACTCACTAAATGTCAAAAATCTAATTAGTCCCTCTCTGAGTCTCTCCATCATGACCAAACATTTAATTTCTGTGTCTTATTTTCTTCTTCCTGTAGATTTTAATTTGTTTTATGTTTGTTTGGTCCATAAGAAAGATGAGACTGAGGACAGGTTGAGATGTTTTTTCCCACAAGATTTCTGTTTCCTGCCGCTGCAAAGCTGCAAACAGGACTGTCACTTTCCATTAACTATTTGTTATAACTCAAGTTACAGTTCTAGTGCCACCTTGCTCCACGGCACTAAGGTGCATGAGTTGGTTTGACCGCCAAGCGTTACATGATGGGATTTCCCAATACTTTGGCAAATGGCAGAGAAAAATGTCCATTTCAAAGGAAAAWCTAAGTCATGCGAGGAAGGATTATTTCTGGAGTCATACATGTAAGAAAACTTCAGTTAAAGGTTGATGAAGATTATTATACGTTGTTTTAGACCAGTGTTCMGAAAGCTGGAGGCAAGATAAGAATTGATTTTTAATTATTATTTAATCTATCAAATGTTTTAAATCAGTATCACAAAATCTGATGTTTTTCAATAAATATCATTTATAATATACTGAAAGGTTTTTAAGAAAGTTTATCAGKTTAGATTTCTTTAGTTATGTTTTTATTGTCAACAGTCTGTTGAAAAGTTGTTTTTTTGGTGTTTAAATCATATTAGTTAATAAAATTCCTACGCTAAACAAATGTAATACCATTGAATGGTGAACAAATGCGAGAACAAACATTTTAAACGTTTTCTAAATGTTTCTTTACATATTTTGTAGCATTTTTTGTTGGTTTGCAAAGTGGGGGGTGTACCGTCCAGAAGCTAAAGATATTTGGGGGGCTATGACACGAAAACTGTGTTTGAGAACCATGTTTTAGACATCAGGATGGTGAGAAGACAGGGTTTTATATCACATACTGGATTTAATTTACAAATAAGAACACATATATYAGGTGATTTGGCAGATGGTGTGTGTATTTCTGTTGATCATATTCCAGTAGCTCATAGTGTTTATTAGAAATAAGACTGAATGTATGTAAAAAACACAATTGTCTTTTTTCCAGCTACTAACAAAAAACCTGAATGTAAAGCCAGAATACTACTTTACCACAAGATTATTCGTAGCTCTCTGAAACCACGTGGTGCTAACTTAGCTCCTTTAGCTAGCGGCCATGATGGTTTTAAAGCAAAGTAGTAACAATTAGCAGGGATGTGTTATGATATGATACTTACCTCAAATCAGACCTCAAACATAGGTTGTGTAATTCCTGGTGTTCTTATATTGTTTTGGTCTGTTAGCTCTGTGATGCTACATTAGCTAGCAGCTATCCAACATCTCTCTGTACGTAAACAAAGTTTAGTAAAAACAGCAAAGGATGATGGGAATGTTAATAAATGCTCTCTGCGCCGTGCTCTTTGCAAGTTTAATGAAAGATATGTTACATTTGCTATGCTGTTAAAAAAAACAAACACCCAGCTAGCTCCAGGCCATAGACAGAGCCCAGTAATGGCCGTCCATTAAAACACCAAACATTTAGCAGCACGTGCTCTGCTGGCACATTACCTTTTGCCAACCGGAACACACCGAGTGTGTGTCCGCCGCGACATTAATCCGACATAATAACTCACGATATTCCAAAACGGATTGTTGTCCACGCGGATCTTTTTTTTTTTTAGGGAGGTGCTTAAAAAAACCACGCGTTCGTCCGACGTCACACGTCCACTTCGCGCATGCGCAGATGCTGTGTTGGCGTCGCCACCTGCACGAAGCGTGTTTCTGCGATCTGAGAAGAACGATGATGTTTTCTGCAATGATTCTGTCTCATTACTGCAGCGAATCATCGGGACACGAGGTTCTGGTTCTGTCAGCCCAACACCAGCCAGACTAACGGATCCATTTCGTTCTCCGGGTGTCCAGAACCGAGTGAAGGTGGAGTGGAGTCTGTCAGGCCGTGTTGTTACGGTGCTTTTATGAGTCGACATGTTCGTGTAGTTGTTTATTATTAGATTTTCAGCAGAATTCACGTTCCGCTCGGACCGATCCGATTGCGCCAAGCAGCCGAGCGGTTCCGATTTTMGCCTCGTCAGTGAGTGAAGTTCGTTCAGGGTTCGTGTCGCCGCCATGTTGTTTTAGACCGAAACGTGCGGACGGTGGCTGCCGTCATGGCGGCTGCAGAGAGGAAACCTGGAGCTGCTGCCCAACCGAACCAACTAAACAAGAACCAGAATCACGATAATTAGAGTTTATATGGAACCCGATTGATGCCAACAGTAAAATATAGTATCTGACAGGTGTTGTTTTAATGATCAGGTTAGTAATARGAGTGGGAATTTGAATAAGAAGTCAAGATCAGAGGTTGATTTTGTGTAAAACCCTTGTATCTTTTCAGGTCTGTAACCTCGTTTTWTTAATGTGTGTTTGGATGTGAAAACAAGGATGTGCAACACTGGAAACAAGGCAGGGTTTTAAAGAAAAATCAGGCAGTAACATTCTGTAAAAATAAATTTACCTACGATTTCATTTAAAATCCATGAGATGAWTATATCTCCTTTAATTTGATAAGTCCTCCTGAGAACTATTCTGAAGCTTTATTATGACTCCAGATCTGCATATTACATGCATATTGTTTTATAGACGTTAGCATACTTTGTTTTTCCAGTAAACRTAATAAAATGTACAACAGTGTAGGCTGCATATTCTGTAAAACTTCGAGATGCARTGAGCCCAATCTACTGAAGCAATCAGAATATTTTATTGATCCCTGAGTACAATTAGTTATGACTCCCGCACGCGAAGCGTAAGCAGGTGTCATATTATTTTTGACCGGTTTATTTATTTATTTCAGTGATTTTTTTTTTGTCAACCGTAGCACAAAAACGACTGCACCAATCAACATGAAATGAGTCAGGACTGTAGATGAGTCTGACCTACACTGCGCCAGCCAGTGGTTTTACGATAGACCCCATATTTGAGGAGGGGCTCCTTTCAAAGAGGGGGTGTCTGAGCATGCAACAATTGTTATTGCTCAAAAACTATTAAACAAAGGAGCTTCAGATTTTCATTGGTTTAGCTCTGATGAGGGGCTATCCATCAGGTTAACAAAGCACACTAGAAAGAAGTAAAATATACACTTTGGAGAAACACTTATGGAAATATAACTAGTAGGGCTGCATGATAGGAAAACTGGAAAAACAGTGATTAATAATGTGATAACGATGTGATTTGTGATAAATGAGCAAATACATAAATGTAGTGTTGATGTCTTTCTGTCCTGGGTTCAGAGAAAAAAAAATTCCATTCCAACAAGAACGAGATCCATCCAATCGTCCAAAGACAYGAAGATCTCCATTYGATTGGTGAAATACTTCAAGCTTCCATTTGAGTGACAAAACTCATATACAAACTTGTTATTGCAGTTCAGGCAGTTTGCRATGTTTATTACACAGGCTGTTATTGCGATGACAATAAATTTTCATTGTATGCAAGCTTAATAGAAATAAAATAGAAATATAACTGAAAGTGGAAGTAGTTWGGTGACGAGATGATGTTTGAGTAAAGTATCCAAGATAAAATTTGCAGATGGTGTAAAGTGACAGATGACCTGTGGTCTGACATCTTTAGGACTGTGTTTGATGGTAGGAAGGACGACCTGTAGCACATTTTAGTGGAATGAATRTTGCACTAAAYGTGCTTCTGTGACTCAGCTGTTGTAGAGAGGGTGGTCATTGTCCACGATTCTCTTCATCTTTGATCAGTTTGAGTCTGTTGGCGTCAGACACCCTCTGATCAAACAGCAAAGATGATGGCGCTCACCACARACTCAGAMGATCCTGAGAGGTTGAAGGATCTCRGACGACWTTGTCCTTTCCTGTAGGTCAGTGAYTCCCAAACCTTTCAGCTTTTGACCCTCAAAGTAGCACCAGAGACCTGAGCCCCCAACTGTTGTTGGATGATAAACATTGTTTTCACGTCAAAAAAACAATATTCATTATGCTATGTTTGTCCATGCTAAGTACATTAACTGTACTGTAGTAATAACAAAGGCAAATAAATTGTTGTTGATTGTAGGGTTGGGCATAATCGTATCGTGTGCAATTAATCGTCAGAAAAACAGTCGATTAATTTTTGGCACTTGACGATTAATACGATTAATGCCACCAGGCAGACTAACTGCTTGGTGCTCCTCTCCCCTTCTAACATGATGAATATTAAAAAAAGTTCTGTAATTTATTTATCTATCAACACAATTTAAAGTTTGATGTATAGCCTGAAGTCTGTAATTTTGACACAATTTGGAACAGATTTTTACGAAGAGCCAATTTTCTCCCTACCAACTGGTCATGTGACTAGGATACAAGGGTGTCCAGGGACTCTGGGGGATTAATCTTTAAATTAATMGTTTTCGGCTAAATACAACACATTAATCGTGATTAATTTTTTTGCCAATATTGCCCAACCCTAGTTGATTGTTATTTTCTAAAATAGTTAATTCAGAAAATCTTTTCAGGACCCCACCTTGATGCTGTCCCAACCCTGACTTTGGGAACCACTGTTTTTAACCCAGTGCAGTTTGTCAGTATTTCTAAATGATACATTTTAGGTCTGACCTCAAGCCAGTAGATAATTTACACGTGCACAAAGTGGGCAAGGCTCACATTGTTCAGGAAGCCATCGTAGTTTCTATGGAAACTCCACTGGAATTGAACAAATCCAGCTGGKAAATAGATGCCGTTATTCAGACCCACTGTATTTGCTTTAAAATGTTAAACTTCCCTTATAGATGATATAATTATTTAAACTGTAAATCTGCTTTTTGAGCTGGTTGAATTGGTACAACTCMAATGGCATTTTCATGGCATAGTCGGTGTTTTTTATTTTTGTTTTTAGTTATTAAACCAGAAAAATCTCATTGAGATCATGAATCTCTTTTTGCAAGGGAGGCCTGGACCTGAAGGCAAACTACATGTTTTTGGTTACGAGTTAGCACTCGTAACTACGATTGTCTATTTAATGCAAGATCTGAGCCAAGTTTTTTGTCAGGAAATACGTTTTGCTCCATATCGCCCCCTATGGGTCAATGTTTGTCAAACATAGTTGACTCCTCCATGATATTACTAAATATGTTTAGGTAGCTTGTCGAAGATTTTTGCACAGGTTAAACTTTCGCATTTTGCAAAATAATCTTTTGTTTTTTCATCCTATATTCAGCGTGCTCTCTAAACTAACATGGAGAGTTTCATTGGGATCAAACTGTTAAAAGTCGAGCTAGAATTTGTTTATTTTATTTTATTTTATTTACATTTTTGCGGAAATGGGTGTGGCCTATGACAAAACTGGCTTCCACTTTTTCACCTTTTTCATCAGCTAATCGGGGATGTTTTCCCTTTAACCAGCTCAGGTTTGTCGAGGAGTGGGTGCACACCTTTCCATTTTTCCACAGGTGGGTTGAAAACAGCACCTCGTGGGGAAAAACAGTGTAGGTGTTAAAAACGTAACGTAGTGCAGTGCTGCTACAAACACACAAGTTAAAGGGGAACACCATTATTAACTGGTTTGATTGATTTTATATACACATCTAGTACATTCATTATTAGTACTTGGATAACACAAAGTGACGATCACTTATTTCTATGGTTTAATTTACCTTTTAGTCACTTCACAGAAATGAAAATAAATTTACCTGCCCAGATGTTCTCATAGGCTACAACATTAATCGACTAGAACATTTTGTAAAAGTCTAGTTTATCCAATACACAATAAATAACAGTACGTGGTCATTACACAGTTAGGGGCATGTATTTTAATAAATTGTTAAATATTAGGTTATTGTTTTGACTTCAGTTTAAATCCTGCAGCTTATACGGCGAGCACAAGTCTGAATTTCAAACTCGTGTCTCTGGGTATGAAATGACTCAGAGTGAAGGTTTGAGAGCAAAATGATGTTTTATGTTCCTGCGATGAACTGATGTCAACCTGTTAGAAATATGCTCTGCCTCCTTGTGACCTAAAACAGGAATAAATGGGTGCAAAAACAGTGTTTTGTTTTAATAGATAAATCCAACTAGCATTTTTTAAGGAAGCCAAACCTTTCAAAATGAACTATTTATTGTTGAGGTGTAGGGAAGTTAAATGTTAATAAAAAGGATTGTATTCAAACAATTTGTATGTTCTTTGTGCATTTTGTCTCAACTTTTATGTTGCTTATTTTCTTCTCTGGATCATTTTAAAATCAAATGAACCACACAGTCAAACCTTTAGGTTCTGTTTACATTACGACAGATTTTTTTTCTCCCATCATTTATTTTAACAAAAATACTGCAGTACTCAATCCTGACCACWAGGTGGCGAGAATGTCCACTTTTTTTTTCTTTTACATTTTTTTATTGGTTGAAGATTTTCTCAAACTCAGYATTCTCTCTCTGATTCTAAACATGCTCTCAGTTCATACAAGTTTTAGCAAAGTTYGTTCATAAAAATACGACTTCTTTTTGGGAGCGAAATGAGATGCTTCATGGTGGTTKATAAAAGCTCCATATCTCTTATCCACACGGTTACAGCAGAAATAAACTCACTGGGCTGCAAATGGTTTTAGACGCCATTAAATATATCAAAAATGCTGTACACCCATAACTAAAAACCCTGACTACAGGCGTGAAATGATGCAGAAAATTCACAATTCGGTTCGATATTTTAGTCTYGTGGTTTGATATTTTAATACAAAAAAGAGAAATGTCCATGCCTTTCTACGCTTGTAGTTTATCTAAGTTAATTATGAACATTTGTTTAACCTCTAAAGTTCAGTTTTTAACTGAAATGTTGCTGAAACAGCAAGTTTCTCAGTGGATCTGTGCTCCACAATGCAGCAGGTGGAGTAGTCGAACACAGATCCACTGATCTGCAACAGCATCTTCAGAAGACAAGCTGATAAAATAAATGTTAAAAATCTGTATTGATCCATAAATCRTGTGTATTGAACCTAAAGCACTGTATTGATTATATTGATATAGATACACGTATTGTTGAACCCCCACCGACACATCTTCCAACTCATCGGTSCATCATCGTCTAACAAGATTTTCTTCAAAACTCAGAAAAACATTTTAAAAAGTGTTGATCAATTGTATTAAACTGCAGCAAGCAGAACTAAATTAGCTGAAAATTTAATCTGAATATTTATTAGTCAGAAAAACACCCCACGTGAAGGGGCGGGGCTTAAAACATTTAATTGGAGGCAGCCACTAGGTGGCGCTCTGATGCGAAATAATCAGACGAATAAGAACCAGCATGAAGGCCTGGATACTATTATTGTACAGTAGTTTTAGGATCTCTAGTCTATAGGATGTACAATAAATATATTTTTAGAGGTTTATAGTAACTAAGTACATTTACTTTGTTACATTACTAAAGTAGTTTTTTGAGGATTTGTAATTTTACCAATTATTTTTAAACAGCTACTTTTACTTTTATTTTGTTACATTTTAAAAGTTAAAAATGATCCTTTTACTTCTTTAAAAAGTAACACCTGGTTACTCGTTACAAATGAAATCTGTTTGAACTCATCATGAAAGATGTTTCTGCTCTAAAAAATGAAGAGTTGAATTTACTCAAAGTCATGTCAGCTGGTTCCACTGAGCCTAGTCGAGTAAATTGAACAAATAAAATATTTTGTTCAATTTAGTCCACGTGGTTTAGTGGAACCAGTTTGGTTCAGCAAATRCAACAGTTTATTTCTKAAAGAGTGTGTAAAAGTACTTCAGTCATTTTCTGTTCATGTAATTTTTACATATTTTTCCCCAAGTACTTTAGAGACCTGTTTTTTTTAAAACCAATATACAATAGGTTTGTCAATTCTGTTCATCAATTTTAAGACTGTGTTCTTCACATGAACCCCCTCATATTGTCTGATTGGACCAGCAAGACCACCGCTCACCAAGCTTGTACCAGTCCTCCTTATTCACCAAGCACACCTTGTTTCACCGTATGATAGGCAACCCTTTTGCCACATAAATCTTTAGTTTCTTTAACTTTTTCTGGTCTTATGTTCTGAACATCTTTGGTCCAAACATAGAAAACTTTACTGATCAATTTAATTTAATTTAAACAGAACGTTGGCTTTTACAAATCAAACATACTCGATGCAAATGGAACGGCTTTAATAAATGTTTTATCAAAAACACTTCTTGATATGTGCTTATTTACTGCAGACGAGGTTATGTACCATGTACTAAAGTAAAAGTACAATAAATATCAATTCTCTGACACAAGTACCAACATTTATTTACAACAGTGTCACACTGGAGCTTTCTGTACAGATCTGAAATCAGTCATACGGAGATAAAAACATCAAGTCTAAACTTTCTACACATAATTTATTAACATTTAAAATAAAACTAAATCAGTTTTCAGCTCAYGATCGATAAAATACTTCCATTTAAACAGGAGGAAAACAAGAATCCACTGCCTGAAACTTTACATCGTTACTAGAGCTGCTGAAAAATGATTTTTGTTTTTTATGGAAGAGGTCATCTGTTAGCAAAATTAGTAAATTAATGGATTAAAGATGGCCGCCACAGCTAATCAGCAAACACAGAGATGGAGATAACTCTGCCACCTTTACAGATGTTAAACCAAAGTTTGGTGTGGTAGTAGCTGAGAGTCTAAAAAACAGCTGTTCTATACAACTCCATGCTTTCAATGCAACTTCCTTCAGTCCTTCACAATAAGAGCCTCAGACATAAACCCTCAGAGTACGAGTCGGGGATGACTCAGYTACTACCACTTCATATTTTAGCTCATTATATTAATTGAATTTGAGAAATTTTTGTAAAAATATCTGTGGCGGCCATCTTGAACGGAGTCGACTCTAAAAATTCATCAGTTTTTGATAAACGTAATAATTTTATTATAATCCAACCAGTAAATCCAGCTAACTGTCAAACAGACATTAAAATAAAACCATCGGTGTTAAAAAGTGAATGTTTTAGTTTACAGTCTTTTTTCCTTTTTTAATTTAATTTTTCACCTTAAAAAAACATACCGATGAAATTTTCCATCATTTTATAGAAAACTTTATTTAAAAGTTAAAAACAGGCTCCTATAGCCTGACGTTAGCTTGTAGCACTGGTTCTTTTCACTTCCTGTCAGACATGTTGGACACGCCGAGTCCAGACCTGAGACCTGGTTCCAGCTCTGCTCATGGTCTCACAGTCCTTCAAAATAAAATGAATCATTTCTGGACTGAAGCAATGTCCCAAATGTCTCAGTTCGCCTCAAACAAGCAAAAACTCAGATTGGAATGAAATAATCTGGGTTACCGCTGCAGGTTTTAGTTGATTAATCCAGCAGGTCCTGCACCATGATCAGCAGGTCTCAGAGGTCAGAATATGTTATTTCACAAGTCTTAACGAGTCCTCTCTCCTACACGGATCAGACATGATCATTAACGATGTTTCAGTCTGTTAGAAACAGGAAGGGTCACATGGAACATATCTGACTGAAACCACTAAATGTCATGTTTTTACTGTAAAACCTGCATTTATTATTAAAAGATTTAAAACTTCTGACTAATAAACCCGTCAACATCCAGGCTGCAGCTTCCTGTCTGGAGAACCGGTCCATCTGGACCGTCTGTGTGAAGCCAGCGTCCACTCAGCTGAGAGCAGCGCTCTGATTGGTCAAACGTTGATGACAGTATCCTCCTCCTCAGCCTGCTCCTGCAGTCTGTCCTCCTCCTCCTCCTCGGCGGCTCCACAGTGCCTGATGATGTACCTGTAGTCTCCTCCGACAGCCCGGGCCGCCCCGGACCCCACCACCAGCCAGTCCCGCTCCTCCTCCTGGGCCCGGCGCTGCCAGGGGACGCTCCAGCTGGAGGCCTCAGCCGAGGAGTCGGGTTCCAGCGAGCGGGCGAGCTCCTGAGGTCCGGCAGCTCCTTCTCCTCCTCGGTCCGGCTCCTCGTCTCCTTCCAGGTTGACGTAGAGCAGCGGGGGACAGCTGGGGGACAGGCTGAGGTGCAGCGTCTCCAGCTGGGCGACCAGCTGCTGGAAGCTGGGACGGCATTTAGGGACGGGACTCCAGCAGCTGTGCATGATCTCATAACTGAGGAGCAGATGGTTTTTGGTTTGGATCAGAAACCATGAGGATCTTCACCAGGGTCTAAAACTAATCAAATCCAACCTCAGAGGACAGCAGAGTCATTTATTAAACCATCAGCTGRAGCTAGTCCAGAAAGTACCCATAAAATCTGATATTGTTGTTAGCTTTGTTTTTTTTTTTTAATCTTTTTAACAATTCTCATACCACAAAAACAACTTGCAGAATGAGACAGACTGGTGTTAAAACACTTTTTAAAAGGGAAAAACGAGTTGAATATAAAACTTTACGAATAAAGAAACAAAAGGTTTGTGACTAAACCCATATCACAAGCACTGACATCTGCTCAGAATAAAACAATTAAAATTCGTGGTCTGGAAACCGTTTTTAAAGTTTTATGTTTGATTCAGACCAGAGTCAACGATGACCTAATTAATTCTTATTCATGTGTCCACAWGGGGGCGCTGCAACACTTTGAAACCTGGAACTTCTTCAGAAATCTACAGGTCAGAAACGATTTTAATCAGGACCTACAGGAGAATTTAAACAACAGGATTTGAGGAAACGTTTGTAGCTTTAACTAAATATACACAACAAAAAGATTTAGATTATATAAAACAGCAGCTCTGTTTCTGCTGAAATGGAGGCAACCTGACAGGATGTTGGGAGACAAACGGGGGACACTTGCTGGACATGTGGAGGACATGGGGACAACCATGTATATATATTTCTGGTACAGTCAAGCTATCCATGAGTACAGAAAGTATTTTCTTTTGTTTCTCCTTTAACCTTTAAAACACATTTTGTGTGGATAAACGAACTCCACAGATAAAATGTTTTTGTACAAATTAACACTCGTGTCGAAGGCCACAAGTTCTAACGTGTTTGACAGTAAAAGTTTAAAAATGCTGAGAGCAAAACACTACTATAACACATCGTGCTTTCTCAATAAAAGAGTTAATAATCAATCAAAAGTTGAAGCTGTGAGTGAAAAACTGATCCAGCAGTTTGTAGAACCTCCTGTTGGTCTGGCAGCGAGGCTGGATTCAGGTTTTTGGGCTGGATTCAGGTTTTGAGGCTGGATTCAGGTTTTGAGGCTGGATTCAGGTTTTTAGGCTGGATTCAGGTTTTCGAGGCTGGATTCAGGTTTTCGAGGCTGGATTCAGGTTTTTGTGTTGGATTCAGGTTTTTGGGCTGGATTCAGGTTTTTGGGCTGGACTCAGGTTGGAATCAGGTTTTCGAGGCTGCATTCAGGTTTTCGAGGCTGGATTCAGGTTTTCGAGGCTGGATTCAGGTTTTTGGGCTGGATTCAGGTTTCTGGGCTGGATTCAGGTTTTTAGGCTGGACTCAGGTTTTTGGGGCTGGATTCAGGTTTTTAGGGCTGGATTCAGGTTTTTGAGGCTGGACTCAGGTTTTTGGGCTGGACTCAGGTTTTTGGGCTGGACTCAGGTTTTTGGGCTGGACT